GAACCGCCCTTGAGAGAACTCTGGGAAAACCGTGACTGGCCCAAGATCACCCAGCAGCTGCAAGTGGAGGAGTGGGGAATCAAACCTGGTTCTCCCAGATTAGAGTCCGTGCACTTAACCACTACACCAAACCGGCTCTCCTGTTTAAACACCGAAAAAGGACTGATCCTGTTTAAACACTGAAAAGTGTATGCCGGGGATCACATGACCCACACACAAAAAAGCTATGCAGAACAGTCCAGGAGGGTAGGGGGGTTGCAAACCAGTGATGAGGGAAGCCAGGGAAGATTGAGAGGAAAAACCTGGTAGGATGCAACCCCCCCCCCCCCCCCCCAAATCCACACTCAGACAACTCACTTTCCGGAAAGATCTTGGCTTGGAATCCTTTGCCGAAAATAAAGCTTTCCAGGTTGTTGAAGGCCAGGAAGGGTTTTGAAGTCAAGGGAAAAGGCCAGACAAAGTGCACTGGGTAACCGCTCACTTCCTCTCTCTGCCTAACTCCCCTGGCAGGATTGCTGTGAGGAGGGAAGAACCTCCTAAACTGCCCTGAATTCCTTGAAGGCAGACTGGGATTAAAATGAGAGTTGGTGGCGGATGGGCCTTCTCTAACAAGATGGGTTGCATCCTCATCTGACAGCCATGCTGATTCTGTGGACTGAGGCAGGTCACAAGACGGGTGGGCAGGGAGGGTCGCCTCAGCGCTTAGTTCTCGTGGCCCTTTCCTACACGCCCAGGGAAATCCCGAGCGCCACTTTGGGGTCAGGAAGGAGGTTTTCTCCAGGCCAGTTTGGCCGGAGATCCTGGAAGTTTCTTGTCATCTTCTTGAGGTCCCTTCCAGCTCTACGATTCTAAGACACCGGAATCAGATTCAGAGGGTAGCCATCTTGGTATTCGGTAGAGCAGCTAGACTCAAGTCCAATAGGACTTCAGGCACTAACAAAATTCTTGTGGCGTGAGCTTTGGAGGGAGCTTTGATTGGGGAAAGCTCATACTCTGAAAATCTTGTTGGTCTCTTAAAGTGACACAGGATTCATAGAATCATAGCGTTGGACGGGACCTCCAGGGTCATCTAGTCCAACCCCCTGCACAATGCAGGAAATGCACAAATACCTCCCCCCCATACCCCCAGTGACCCCTGCTCCATGCCCAGAAGATGACCAAAAAACCCCCCCAAACCCTCTAGGATTCCTGGCCAAACTGGCCTGGAGAAATAAGGCTGGAATGTTTGTTGAAATGTTCATCTCTAAAAGTCCTGTCCCCAATTTCCTCACCCTCATTCCAAGAGCCCTACATTAACTCTTCCCCTGCATGCCAAAAATTCAGGAATACCTCCTTTCAAGAGAGGAACATGCCTTGCGTTCTGTAATCTCAAGACCACTTCCGCTCATGTATTAAAACGACGTGGTAGAATCCCGTGGCAGTAGAAAATGGAATGAACCACCTCAGAGCAGAACCGCAGAGCAAGTTATCCAATCACTTTGAAAAAGAAGCTTCTCTGCAGGTAGAAAGTCAGCACAGCAGGGTGAAGCTGACATCGAACTGTTCTGCTTGAAGTGCTGGCTTTCTACTTGCAGGGAAGGGATGGATTTCTTCTTCTATTTTAAACCTTGCTTTTCAGACAACAAATTGGCTCCCACGTTAGGATGATAACCAATTCCTTCTCTGGCATAGCTTCAGTCCATGGCTTCTGTGGGGAACCAAACCAGCATTAGAGGAAGAGTTCTGAAAAACATCTGGGGGCAGATGTCAAAACAGGGGAGAACACTGGCTTTCCCTGACACCCACTCCCGTTCCAATAACCCTCGCCCTGCTATACTCCCAAGCAGTCTCTGACACTAGAAGGCTTACAGTGTATATACAGACTAACAGTAGAATACAACCACTGTGATACAAGATGCTAAATAATAAACATTATCTTGCAAAACTTATCATCCTTGTATTATCGAGAACATACAAAATTTAAGACATTATATACGAACAATTCCATAACAAATAAGATGAAAGTGCAATTATGCAAAATTACAAAAATACGACTAGAATGTCAATAAAGAAATTAATCTGAACCTTCTAGTGACGGACTATAACTATACCATCACTAGAGGGTTCGGATTAATTTCTTTATTGAAATTCTGGAATGGGAGAATATACTGTAAGAAAAAAAAGAAAAGGTTTTTTGGATTGTAAGTTAGACATGATGCCAACTGGGCACTATAAAACTTCTGGAAGATGAACAACTAAGACTTTTTGTATCTAGAAGTTGGTTTCACTGAAGAAGATAACCAGAACGATGGACTTCTATCTGGGATCGTCTTTGATCCTTTCCGTATAGAGTTTCGACATACAGTATTGGACTTACACATATTCTAGTCGTATTTTTGTAACTTTGAATAATTGTACTTTCGACATATTTGTTTTGGAATTATTTGTACATGAGGTCTTAAATGTTGTATGTTCTCAATAATATAAGGATGATAAGCTTTGCAAGATAATGTTTATTATTTAGCAACAGTGGTTGTATTCTGTTGTTAGTCTATACTCCCAACCAGGCCACATCAAGGATACTGTCAGCGAGAAGATGAAGAGGGCGGAGCCTAGCAGCCCCCCCTGGATGGTCAGCCATTCGCTGGAGGCGAGGTGCCGGCTGTACATCTGCATGCCGGTGAAGAGCAGGAGAGACAGCAGCGAGGACAGGACCAGGGACGTTCCCGTGCCGACGGCTGGCGAGACAGAGAAACACATTTACAGGGAGGGCACTCTCACAGCGGAAGCGATGGCCACAGGAATAAACAGCTTTAAAAGGGGATTAGATAGATTCATGGAGGATAAGTCTGTCAATGGCTGTGAGCCATGGTGGCTGAGGGGAACCTCCACATTCAGAGGCACTAAGCCTCTGAATCCCAGAGCCAGGAGACAACATCAGGGGAAGGCCTCGGCCTCTCTAGCCTGTTGCTGGTTCCCCAGAGGAACTGGTTGAGGCCACTGTGTGAGGCAGGATGCTGGACTAGAGGGACCCTCACTGGTCTGATCCAGCAGGGCTCTTCTGATGTTCTTGTGAGGGGAGGCCTTGGCCTCTCTGCCCTGTTGCTGGCCCTCCAGAGGAACTGGCTGAGGCCACCGTGTGAGACGGGATGCCGGACTAGATGGTCCCTCACTGGCCTGATCCAGAAGGGCTCTTCTGATGTTCTTGTGAGGGGAGGCCTCGGGCTCTCTGCCCTGTTGTTGGCTCTGGTTGAGGCCACTGTGTGAGGCAGGATGCTGGACTAGATGGACCCTTACTGGTCTGATCCAGCAGGGCTCTTCTGATGTTCTTATCAGGGGGATGGCCTCGGCCTCTCTGCCCTGGTTTTGGCCCTCCAGAGGAACTGGTTGAGGCCACTGTGTGAGGCAGGATGCTGGACTAGATGGACCCTTACTGTTCTTGACCCAGCAGGGCTCTTCTGATGTTCTAATGAGGGGAAGGCCTCGGCCTCTCTGCCCTGTTGTTGGCCCTCCAGAGGAACTGGTTGAGGCCACTGTGTGAGGCAGGATGCTGGACTAGATGGACCCTCACTGGTCTGATCCAGCAGGGCTCTTCTGACATTCTTATGTAACACACTGGGGGCTTCGGGGCACCAGCTGGCACGGGTTTCCCCACAAAAGACAGGCAGTCATGAGGGGCATATGCAAAGCACTTTATAAAGAGGTAAACAAGAAATTAAGAAAACCCAAATCAAAATATTAATATTTTTCAGCACAAGGAAAATTTACTATATTGAGGTGTTATGCACATCCAGCTTTTTGTTTGAATCCTTTCATTCTATTGCATCTCATTGCTGCGTTTTCTTAACATTTTCAGTATTAATCTTAGTATTTTCTTCATTTGTTTTCTCAACCTCTTGGTTACCCGATTCATTTCAGGGTTGAGTTCATACAAAGGTAGACCCTGCATAGCCTCATACGGTCTTACTGGCCAGCCGTACACTGGCTACCTACTGGAGAAGCCAGGATTTGAACCTGGGACCGTCGGCACGCAGTCACTACTCCACCACCAAGCCGGGGCTCCTCCTTTAAAATAACCACACACCATTTTTACACCGCTTTCCAAAGCACTTCACTGACATTAGCTTAACCCTTAAAACAACCGTGTAAAGGATCAGGGGGGTGATGATGTCCTCACTGCAGATAGGCGCAGAGCCTTGGAGACAGCAGCCTGCCTCCTCATGTTGCCTCCTGGCTCCGGGATTCAGAGACTTAGTGCCTCTGAATGTGGAGGATCCCTTCAGCCACCATGGCTAGTAGACCTCTTCTCCATGAAATCGTGTAATCCGTCCTTCATTGCCTCATTCCCCTTGGAAAGCCACCATTGCAATTTCTGGCAGTGAATACCATATTCATTTCCCACTGTATAAAGACTTCCACAGCACCTGTCTAATGCCAGTTTGGTGTCATGGTTAAGTGCGCAGACTCTAATCTGGGAGAACCGAGTTTGATTCCCCACTCCTCCACTTGCACCTGGCTGGATGACCTTGGGCAAGCCCTAGTTCTGATAAGAGCTCTTCTTGAAAAAGAGCAGTTTCTCTGTCAAGAGCTCTCTCAGCCCCACCGACCTCACAGGGTGTCTGTTGTGGGGAGGGGAAGGGAAAGGAGTTTGTAAGCCGCTCTGAGACTCCTCTGGGTAGTGAAGGGTGGGGTATAAATCCAATTTCCTCTTCTTCTTTTACCTCACAGAGTGTCTGTGGTGTGGAGGGGAAGGGAAAGGAGTTTGTAAGCCGCTCTGAGACACCTTTGGGTAGTGAAGGGCGGGGTGTAAATCCAATTTCCTCCTCTTCTTCTTTTACCTCACAGAGTGTCTGTGGTGTGGAGGGGAAGGGAAAGGAGTTTGTAAGCCGCTCTGAGACACCTTTGGGTAGTGAAGGGCGGGGTATAAATCCAATCTCCTCTTCTTCTTCTTTTACCTCACAGGGTGTCTGTTGTGGGGAGGGGAAGGGAAAGGAGTTTGTAAGCCGCTCTGAGACACCTTTGGGTAGTGAAGGGCGGGGTATAAATCCAATCTCCTCTTCTTCTTCTTTTACCTCACAGGGTGTCTGTTGTGGGGAGGGGAAGGGAAAGGAGTTTGTAAGCCGCTCTGAGACACCTTTGGGTAGTGAAGGGCGGGGTATAACTCCAATCTCTTCTTCTTCTAACATACAACTGGGAAGGGACAACCCAGATTTGTTACAATTTAATGAGTGAAAAAGGGGTTATATCCCAATGGGCAAAAAATGGACACTTGCTGGAAGGATTTCTTTATATGTGTAATAATAATAATAATTTATTAAGTCTCTGACTCCCCCAATCCCTGCTACCGCAGGGCTCTGGGTGATGTACAACAATCAATAAAAATATAAAACCATAAAAAAGATACATAAATACTAGTATTACAGATTTAAAAGAATCCAGATGGTGACCTACACATTACTTCGCATTCCAGACTGCCCAGCCGCCTTGTCAAGCAAGGGAAGAGGGGGAACGAAACAAGTCTGGTGAGCAAGGAGACGGTGCCAGCCAGAGTGGACTCAGCTGCACAGAATGTAGCAATGGCCACAAGTTTACGTGGCTTTAAAAGGGAATCTGACAACTCACAGAAGAAAGGTCCATCAATGGATATTAGGCATAACAGCTAAATGGAACTTCCATGTTCAGAGGCAGTAAACCTCTGAACATCGGTTGCGGGGGGGGATGTCAACAACAGGGAGGTTTGGTGTTGGGTCCCCGCTGTGGGGTCTTTCAGGGATATCTACCTGGGTTCAACACGAAACTGGATGCTGGACTAGGCAGTCTGATCCAGCAGAACTCTGATGTTCTTATGAGAATGGTCGGTTTTGGTCCGTGCTGGGACATGGGCACTCACTGGCAAACCATAGCATGCAGAGATGATGGCAAAAGCCTTGGCACGGGTGCCAACGCCCAATGGTTGGACATGACAGTGAAGGAGCTGCAAGATCTCCTGCCTCACTAAGAGCTGCTTTTGCATAGAGGCAAGGAAAGAAGCCACGGGTTCAAATCCCACCTTCACTATCTCTATGGGCTGCAAAGGAAGACAGCTTTCCTTTACAGCCCATGCACAAATTAGGAGGGGGGATAATAACACTGACCTACCTTACAGGGCTGTTGTATAGGTCACAACCAAAGTGCTTACTGTGTCCCATTTTCTCCCTCCAATGCATCCCAATAATTCCCCCTCTATGCATGCAATGGACATTTACTAACAGCAAAAACCTGGGCACACCCTTTATCCCCTCAGTTTTAACGTATTACTCCCCCATTTCCACTTGCCAACATTACGTTACCCATAATGCAGAGCGCTGCACCCCTTTAATCTAGCTGTTCACCGGCGGCCCCAACGAGTCTGAATCAAAGTTCCGTCCCTTCCTGCTGCGCATGCGCCTTTCTACCCAGACGAGGGCTGTGCTCCTTCCTGCGCACGCGCGGCCTTGCCGCGGTTCCATCGCAGACGTGTAAGTAACGAGCCCGTAAGCGCATGCGTGGAAAAGCTCCCTCCCCTTCTTACAGCCGCTGCTGTATAGCGGAGAGTAGCTGGTCTCGCGTCTTCTTCTTCGGAGATCATTGGATGGGCCTCCCCTGGCGGTCGTGGAGAGTCACTGCAAGGCTGTCCTGTGTTTCCGTCGTCCGGCCATCGGAGGGAGCGAGCGAGCGAGTGTGCGCACAATGGACTTGCTCCCCCGCCCCCTGGAGGAGGTTTTGAACAAAGGAGTTTAGCCGCTCGTAGAATGGCATGTTCGAGTCCCACTTCGTCCGCCAGGACAATTATGAAATTTGGCCAGCTACCAAATACTGCAGTAATCTGGCGGGTAGAGTAAAAAAAAAAAGTCTCAGCCGGACTTCCCTTGAAGCTGCATCCGCTGCTTTAGAGCTTCTGCCGCTTGTTCCCCACACAGTTACTGAAGCCACCTACTGCAGATTGGGGGAGGGGGAGGGAAAAGCACTCTGCACGTGCTCGCGGGCACGCTCTTAATCCCGCATGAGCGTCCAAGCCGGAGCCCAGCATTTTGAATACCAGTCCGAGGGCAGAGCCAAAGGGAGAAGCCTGCCTGACAATCATGCTCATCACCGCACCCCTGGAGGAAGGGAGCGCGCGCCTGCAAGCCCCTCGGGGCAGAGACGCGCCTTGCCCTTTTGTTAGCCCCCAAAGCGTCAAGCGCCGCGGTCCGCGCTGGAGAATGCGCGAGTTCCACCGAACGATCCGCCCCCCGGCGCTTCAGGGTAGGGGGGGGGGAAGAGTGTGGGGTTGAGCCTTTCTTGGGGAGCATGCGCATCGTTTCCTTCTCTCCACCCCCCCC